TAATTACATGTACTTCGGTTTGGGTGAGTACCTATTGTCTGATTTACCGCTACTTCGTGAATTTTCCTTCTCCTTTACCTTTTGTGAAATGAGTTATTAATGTAATCAATACTTTTTTCTCCAAATAATCACACAGAGTACGGAGGTGAATGGTGAGTAAAATTCAAGACTGATCATAAATTTCCCAAGGCGATACTAATAAGAATTATCTTTCCCTTTAATAGTTGGGCGGACAACTCTTTCCACAACACCACCTCCGCTGATGCCCCTGCCACTGACTGTTCGATGAAATGTAACAGCAACCCCTTACAATTGTGCGGTAACGGTAACAGATTAACTGCCTACAGCTACGTGAGTATCTTCCCCTTTTCATCAGAAATTTAAACGAGAAAAGTCAAACTAGAACTTATTTTCTCAAAAAAAAAACACAGAACGTCAACGGTACAACTTCATCTTCTGCTGGTACTACCGCCACTGTCCCTCCCACCAGTACATATACCACCGTTTCAACCACAACTTCAGCCCCCGCTCCAACTGATCTTGCATGGCGTCCAATCGATTCTGGATGTCTCCTTGACACTGGTAACCCTAGAACCTTTGGAAACTTCCTTTTGGGTGGTGCTACTGTTGAAACATGTCAAGCTGCCGCCGGTGCTAAAGGTTACGTTTACATGGTTAGTTTTTTTTGAGCTGCGTTTTTATTCGATTTAGTTTTTTTTGAGCTGCGTTTTTATTCGATTTAGATTTTTTGCTAAAGTTTTTCGTACTTTTGTTGTTGTAATTACAGGGTCTTGAGTACGGTGGTGTAAGTATAGTCTTTCTAGTCCCTTTAAGGGTTTTGTTTTTGGAATCCAAGGTTTTTAACTTTTCATTACTTGTGGGACTATTTCCTGGTCTTAAAAAAAACACTTTCGTGATTACCAAAATATAGGAATGGTAAGAATAGAAAGCTTGCTTTCGTGATTGTTACAGCCGAACCTTGTACTAAGATGTCGCATAAAATTACCAAAACAATAACAGTTGGGCTGACAGCCTCTACCGCAACTTGACCTCCGCCGCCGCGCCTGCCACCGACTGTACCATGAAATGTAACGCCAACGCCGCCGAACTCTGTGGAGCTGGAAACAGATTGTCCGCATACTACTACGGTACTTCTCATCCTTTCGTTCCTACCACCACCTCCGACGGTGCGACCACCACTGCCGCTGCCACCTCTACATCTGCTACACCTACACCTACCCCCTCTGGACTCCCCGCTGGATGGGGATACGTTGGTTGTTTCAAGGAAGGTACTTCTGGACGTGCCCTTGCTGGTATGCCCATTCCTGCTACTGCCACTATGACCAATGAGCATTGTGCTACTCAATGTCTTGCTAAGGGTTTTGCTATTTCCGGAACTGAGTTTGGTCAAGAATGTGAGTTTTCTCTTCTTTTTTTATGTTTTCATTTCTTTTGTTTCTCCAGGCTGAACTTTTGTCTTGTTATAAATTATTCTTAACTCGTTCCTTTTTTGTTTTTGTTTATTCACAGGTTACTGTGGTAACGACATCCGTAACGGTGGTGCTGCCGCTGCCGAAACCGACTGTACCTCCGTCTGTGCTGGTAACACCGCCGAAAAGTGTGGTGGAGGTAACCGTCTCACTGTCTACTCGTCAATTACCCCCGCAAACATTACCATCTGGCCCGCACCCGTTTTGAAGAAGACTGGTTTACCTGCTGGTTACAGCTACGTTGGTTGTTACATGGACAACGTTCCTGATGCCAATGGAAACCAACAAAGAACTTTACAATGGCAATATATTTCTCTTGGAAAGATGACCGTTGAGATGTGTATTTCTCACTGTTTCAGATTCGGGTACAAGCTTGCTGGTTTGGAATGTGAGTTTTTGTCTTTGATGGAACTGTTTTATTGTTTCTGAAGTTTTGCTTGATGTAAGAGTTTATCTAAACTTTATAATCGATTAAATAACAGACGGAAGTGAATGTTACTGTGAAGACAATCTCCTTAACGGCGGTATCCTTGCTCCCGGTGGTGACGCTGAATGCTCAAACATTCCTTGTGAAGGTGAGTAACATCCTTCCCGGTTATCCAAACTCCGTGTTCGTTTGTTTTAACAAAGTCATTCTCATTAAATTAAAGGTAACCCTGGAGAGTACTGTGGAAACGGTGGTCGCCTTGCTGTGTAAGTGATTTTTTCAGTGGGATTGGATATGTTAAAGAGGTTTTGTGATTGATGGAGACTAACTTATTTAATCGCGTTTTATAGCTACACTTACAACACTGCTGTCTCCACTTTCTCATACCCTGCCAACACTGGTCGCTACGAGTACTTTATTGGTGGTGTTACCGTCCCTCTGTTGACCGCCTTGACTACTACAAACAAAGTTGTCATGCTTGAACGTGTTGCTGGTGGTGAAGCAAACAGCACTCATGCCTACGAGGTTGGTTTTTTTTGTTGATCGTTGCATTTTTAAAAATGTGTACCTTGAATAACGATTTTTAAAAATGTGTACCTTGAATAACTAAAAATCGTTACTGTGTTCATTGACTTCAACAATAGCTCGACTACTCCACCAACGACTACCGCACCGCCTTCCGTGAAATGCACGTTCCCACCGACGTCTTCTGCAGTGCCGGTATCATGCTTCCCGACAAACCCGGCCGTATCCTCAACGTGGGTGGTTGGGCTGATCTCTCTCTCGAAGGTGTTCGTCTCTACACTCCAACTGGTTCCGCTGGTGTCAATGGAACAACCGACTGGGAGGAAAACGTCAACACTCTTCACCTCCAAGTCCCTCGTTGGTACCCTTCTGCCTTGCAGTTGTTGAACGGATCTATTGCCGTTATTGGTGGTGAGACTAACAGTAACGGAGCTAACCAACCTAGTGTTGAGATTTTGCCTGCGACTGGCACTAAGCCCATCACTTTGGAGATTTTGGCTGTCAATACCGACCCTTACAACTTGTACCCTCACGTGTGAGTAAAAAAATTTGTTTTAGTGTCATTACATCAAGAATATTTTCGTTTGGCTGACTTGGCCTTTACATTGTAGCTTCACTCTTCCCACCGGAAAAGTCTTCATCGCCGCTCACAACCGTGCCCAAGTTCTCGACCCCGACACTTGGGAAACCACCATTTCCCTCCCCAACATGCCCGGTGGTGCCGTCTCAGTCAACGGAGACCCCGATGGTACTGGTGGCAGAACCTACCCAATGAGTGGTACTGGAGTTCTCCTTCCCTTGAGCCCACCATACACCGACCCCGTCACAATCCTCGTCTGTGGTGGTTCCATCGGAGCTGGTGGTACCGCCGTCGACAACTGTGTTAGCACTCAACCTGAAGTTCCAGGAGCCCAATGGGTCATTGAACGTATGCCTTTCAAGCGTGTCATGCCAAACATTGTTCACCTCCCCGATGGTACATTCCTCATAGTCAACGGATGCAAATTTGGTGTTGCTGGTTTCGGTCTTGGTCAAGATCCTACTTTTACTGCTGTTTTGTATGACCCTACTAAACCTGTTAATGCTAGGATGTCAGTTTTGAACTCTACTATTGTTGCGAGAATGTATCACTCTGAGGCTTTGTTGCTTCATGATGGTAGAGTTTTGATTACTGGTTCTGATCCTCAAGAGCAAGAACAAGGCTACCCTGAGGTGAGAAGAACTGCCGTGTCTTTTCTTTTTAGTTGTCGTTGAGATTTCTTTGGAGCAAAACAAAAATTAACACTTTCTTTTTTCTATCAATCGCAATAGGAACACCGTATCGAGATGTACATTCCTCCTTACCTCACCAACGGTAAGACTCGCCCTACCTTCACCATCACCTCAAGTACTCAGGTCAACTTTGGTGCTCAATTGGCCTTCACTGCCAACCTCCCCAGCAACGGCCCTATCCGTGTCTCCATGGTGTCACGTAAGTGTTTGACCCGCCCTTCATAAATCCAGTGAATAAATACATGTTCTAACCTTTCTTCACAATTTTAATTCCTACTCCAGCCGGTGTCAACACCCACGGCAACACCATGGGTTCGCGATTGGTCTTTTTGAGTGTCGCTAAACAAGCCGATGGCTCTTACCTTGCCACCATGCCCCCTAACCAAGGTGTCGCCCCTGCCAACCACTATCTTATCTACGTTCTCGATGGTCCTACCCCCTCCGTTGGTCAATGGATCCGTCTTGGTGGTGACCCCGGCAACTTGTCTTCATGGCCTAACTTGCCTGGATTTACTTTGCCCAACTAAAAATCCGGGTTTGTTGATGGGTTTAATCCGTGATCATGAAACGTAAATTTGCGATTTTCGTTCTAGTATCTTTCCTTTTTTTTTATGTTCTTGTGTATTGAAGCGTCCTTTTATTATTGTATCTTGAGCTAAAAATGCTCCGTCAGTTTCGATTTATTTTTTTTTGGGTTCCGTCTTTCTCGGTCCGTTTTTCTCTCTGTATCGATTTTTTTTGGTTTGCATCTGAGTTGTTGTTTCTTTTGTCCACCTTTTTTGTGAAGTTGCGGTTTTTTTTCCTTTTTCGGTTGTTTTCTTTCAAGCGTAAATCCCAATTTTGTCTCTGTAGTTATAAGCGTTCTTGTATTCTTCAACTTTAATATCGCCGATACTGGCAAATTTGTTCTTTTTTTTGGTTTTTTTCCTTTCGTTTGTTTGTTGTTTTAATTACAAATCCCAATTCGGGATGTACAAATCATGGTTACGAGAAAAATGAAAACTCACAGAATAATATCACAAAATTTGAGAATGCTATAACAGACCAAGTTTGACTCCAAGGTTCAAACTTCTTCAAAAATTAACATTAGCACCACCCTTCCGCCAATAATAGCAGTTTTTTGTCGCACTTATGCGTTTCCCCATGAAATGATTAAACTCCGGCCCATCTTGTTGTGAGAAAAAGTTGTCTATCCTTTCAACATGCACAAACCTCATTCAGCCAGGAGAAGCGAGAGTTATTTTTCCTGCGAAAATTATATACCAGAAGCTGAGAGAATCATCACGTGACCTGTGGTGTAGTGGTTATCACGTTTCCATTACTCTGAAAAGGTCCCTGGTTCAAGCCCAGGCTGGTCCAATTACCACATCTCATTTCGAAAAAGCGACATATGGAAAGCGATTGATGATGTTTCTGATTCCTTCCCCTTTTGTTTCCTACCCAAAGTAAAAATCATCCTGGATTTCATTTTAACGTGCTTCGATTTTGACAGTTCCTAAACGGTACGTTGTGGCTCATCCTCAAGTGTCGTTTGAACAAGAATATCCTATTATAATGATATTTCCAATGTTCTTGCATTGCATCATGACCATCAGCATCGGGAATGCAAGTGCCATACTACTTCCGCACATGGCATTCCTGTCCTTAAGGGGCAACCTTGCATGAGAAGTTGGGGATTCTTGCATTTGGATCTTCATGGTGGTCCAAAGATAATGAATTAGATGATGACGACTATCAAAGTGAGGTTGAATGAAGCACAAGCAGCTGCTTATCATGCTATCAAACAGGAATTACATTGAAATTTTGTGCTGTTCCGATGATCACTAGGCAAATACTATTTGCATGGCGAAAGTTGTGTTCACACCATTTGAGTTAGAGTCTTTAATATCATATCGTCTATGCAACAGTAGTTTAACGCAATACCCACAACGTTTTTGCCATTTAAAATGACTGCGTTCGCAGTTTCCGTCGACACAATTTAGAACGAACCATTCGATTTTCTGTAAGTTGCTTGTGGGAATATGGACAAATTGACAATTTTTTAAAATTTTTTCGTTATCCAGTTTGAGTCAAGTAATCTGTCAAATTATATTGTATGTAACTCTCAATCATTTTGCTTGGTGTGAAGAACCAGTTGCTGCAGTCAATCACCTTATTAATTCTCGCACTGTCGGCATGCAAAGAAAGATCTCGGGTCTCGTGTCAGATGGGTTTAAAACTCGGTTGACCCTTTTTGTCATAAATGAGATTGTTTATGCAACAGTAGTTTAACGCAATACCCACAACGTTTTTGCCATGTAAAATGACTGCGTTCGCAGTTTCCGTCAACACAATTTAGATTAAACCATCTGATTTTCTTACTTGCAGATTGATGATTTTTTAAAATTTTTGCGTTGACGAGTTTGAGCCGCAAATTACATTGTATGTAACTCTCAATCATTTTGATTGGTGTGAAGAACAAGTTGCTGCAATCAGATTTGTCAATCACCTTATTAATTCTTTCACTGTCGGCATCCAAACACAGATCCCAGGTCTCGTGTCAGATGTGTTTAAAAACTCAGTTGACCGTTTTTGTCATAAATGATATTGTCTATGCAACAATAGTTTAATGCAATACCCACAAACGTTTATGCCATTGAAAATGACTGCGTTTGCGCTTTCTGTCCACAAAATTTAGAACAATCCATTTGATTTTCTTACTTGCGCAAATATGGACAGATTGATGATTTTTTAAAATTTTTGTGTTGTCAAGCTTGAGCCGCGTAATCTTGCAAATTACGTTATATGTAACTCTCAATCATTTTGCTTGGTGTGAAGAACATGTTGCTGCAATACGATTTGTTTATCACCTTATTAATTCTTTCAACGTGGGCATTGGAACAGGATGGTTTCCCTTGGGCCATAAACAGGTTTTTTTTTGGCTGCTGCAGCAACAGCCACATTTTTGTAATTTTTTATTATAAAGACCAACAGGTTCAAGGAAAGAAAAGAAAGCTAATTGTATGCACTCTTTTCAAGTTGGTACGCATTATGTTGTATTAGTAATGACTTTTCTTATTGGTACGGATTTTTTCCTTATAAGTACGCACTTTTTCTTATTAATATGCACTTAATTCATGTTGGTACGCATTTTGTTGTATTAAAACGGAATTTCTTCTTATTAGTACGCACTTTTTTCTTATTTGTACGCACTTTTTTCTTATTGGTACACACTTTATTCATGTTGGATCACGTTTTGTTGTATTAAAACGGAATTTCCTCTTATTAGTATGCGCTTTTTTCTTATTGGTAAACACTTTTTTCTTCTTAATCTGCACTTTTTTCTTATTGGTACCCACGTTATTCGTTTTGCATTTTGCTTTGTTAGTAATGACTTTGTGTTATTGGTACTAATTTTTCTCTTACAGTATGCACTGTTTCTTTTTGGTACCCACTTTATTCGTGTTGGTACCCATCCTTAACTTTGGATGTTTTGCTTTTTGGCACCAGATTTTTTCTACTAGTTACAGACTTGTTTTATATATTTTCAGACTTTTCGCTTACTGTGACCGACTTTTATTAATTGGTGTGAACATTTCACGACTATTTCTATATCGGTTAGTACTTTCTACTAATTGGTACTGACTTTCTACTAATTGGTACGTACTTTCTACCTATTGGTAGGGACTTTCAACTATTAGTTACAGACTTTCAACTCTTTTTGCTGATTGTAATGCACTTTGTAACAATTCGAAGGTTATTCTCCTCGTCAAGAAATATTGGTTCCTAGTCGTTCGTACAATTTGTAGGCAATCTATATGCTCG